GTTGTTAGCACAGGCAATGACCCTAAATACAGCGACACGTCTGAGTTTGATGAAGAGATCTTGACTCTAGAACACAACTATGAAGTGAATGTAATAAACAAATCACCGCATGTAACCAAAATAAAGGCTACAATGGAAATAAAAGGTAAACCAGTCCAGATGCAAATTGATAGCGGAGCTACTTGCAATGTACTACCTGAGAAATATGTACCAAAATGGGACTAGAATACAGACATCCAAATATAATCTCACCATGTATAGCAAGACAAACATGTTAGTTATAGGTACATGGAAAGTAAATATACATAACCCAAAGACTGACAGGAAATATCAAATAGGGTATCGTGCATCACAGGAAATGAAGCTACTCACAGTCCAGTTTGAGAATATACTCCAAATTGAAGAGACAAAAAGGAATAGTGGACTAAGTAAGGATCAAATAATGGAATCCTATGGTTATGTATTCGAAGGATTAGACAGGATGGATGGTAAATTGCACTTAGAATTAGACAAGTCTGTTACTCCAGTTGTAATGCCTCTTTGTCGAGTACCTATAGCCATTAGGGAGAAACTCAAAGATGAATTAAGTCGTCTTGAAAACCTTGGTGTCATTAGGAAAGTTACCAACAGATTGGGTATCAAATTTAGTCATTGTCAAGAAGTCGAATGGATTGCTTCGACTTTGTGTTGACTCAGAGCATCTTAACAAAGCATTGAAAAAAGTCACTATTCACTATCAGTGATCGAAGACGTTCTCCCAGATCTAGCAAATACTAAAGTCTTTAGTAAAGCTGATCTCAAAGATGGATTTTTACAGTTAGAGCTAGATGATGAGTCAAGTTTACTCACTACATTTCAGACGCCATGGGGCAGATACTGTTACTTAAGAATGCCATTCGGAATTACTCCAGCACCAGAGAACTTTGAAACGAAACTAGATCAGAACCTAGAACATCTATCTGGTGTATATAAGATAGCCGACGACTTACTAATAACAGGACGTGGTGAAACTGCTGAGGAAGCAAACGTGGATCATGATAGAAATATGATAAATCTGCTTGAAAGACGCAGAGAAAAACATTAAGTTAAACAAAGAGAAATTTCAACTTGAGTGATGAGATCGGACATTCTTTGACAAAAGAAGGTTTAAAACCAGATCCAAATAAAGTGAAGGCCATACAGGAGATGGAGAAACCTACAGATATTGCAGGAGTGCAAAGAATCATCGGTATGATTAAATACTTAACCAAATTCCTCAAAGACCTGCCAGACATCTGTGAACCAATGAGAAGACTAACATACAAAGATGTGGAGTGAAATTGGTCTCAAGAACAAGATGAAGCATTTGAGAAAATGAAGGAAACAGTCTCTACTGCTCCTGTCATGAAGTACTTCAAATCAGATGAGCCAACGGAAGGACAAGATGATACATCTTCAAAAGGCCTAGGAATTGTATTAATGCAAAATGGTCAGCCAGTAACTTACGCGAGCAGAGCTTTAACCAGTACCAAGCAGAAATATTCACTGACTTGT